TATCAACAGGGGCTCAGTGATCCCTACAGAGTCCACAGAGGTTCTGCATGGGGGTCGCGAAAGTTTTGGTTTATTAGACTTTTTTTTTTTTATATTCCCCACCCCTGCAATTTTTCCACTAATTGAAATATCTTTAAATCAACATTAACATGAATTCAACACCCTGTAGTAAACAGATAAATGGAGGCAGAACACACACATTCAGCGACACACAGGAGCTCTTTCAAGCTGGACACCGTTTCATTCACAACACCTGTCCCATCAACCAGGAATCAGAAATACTTTAATAATCCCAGGGAGGGATTACTTTGGTTACATTACTCCATCTGTAATAGAGTGACTATAGGACCAGTTTGATAGAACACTATTTCATACTATATATATAATCAGGGGGTTCCTGCTCCGTCTCACCATCAGTTTGGGGGTCCTTGGCCTGGAAAACGTTGAAGATCCCTGCTCTAAGGTGTTTGTATAATTTTCAATATCAGTGTAAGATCATGAATGTTTTAGACTTTTAGTCATTTACTAGTTAGAGATGAGTGACTGTGTATTATGAAATTGGTGTAAAAGTAAAGTTAAACTTAAAATTTGTTACACCACATCATATCAGTGCTTCTTTAGGTGCAATGCTGGCCTGTAACAAAGAAAACTACATTTCCCGTGAGCCTCCTCTCCGGCGCAGACCTCCCTCCTCCACCCTCCGTTTGAATGGCAATTTGTTTGTTTCACTCCGACCAGCTGCTAACTATTCCAGTCAATGAGCAAACACGCAACAAGCTACTGCAGGGACGTTTGGGAGTCACTTCCGTTTTCATTGGGTTTCTTCAAAATAAATGTAACATCGAAAGACGTTCCTGTTGTTATTTTAGAATAAAGTCATAAAATTATGAGAATAAAGTCGCAACATTTTGAGAATAAAGTCATAAAATTACGAGAATAAAGTCATAACATTTTGAGTATTAAGTCATAAAATTACGTGAATAAAGTCGTAACATCTTGAGAATAAAGTCTTAACGTCTTGAGAATAAAGTCGTAAAATTACGAGAATAAAGTCGTAACATCTTGAGAATAAAGTCATAAAATTACGAGAATAAAGTCGCAACATTTTGAGAATTTAGTCATAAAATTACGTGAATAAAGTCGTAACATCTTTAGAATAAAGTCTTAACGTCTTGAGAATAAAGTCGTAAAATTACGAGAATAAAGTCAACATTTTGAGAAAAAAGTAAAATTACGAGAATAAAGTCACAACATTTTGAGAATAGTCATAAAATTACGTGAATAAATTTGTAACATCTTGAGAGTAAAGTCGTAAAATTACAATAATAAAGTCATAACATTTTGAGAATAAAGTAAAAATATGAGAATAAAGTCAAAGTCATAAAATTACGTGAATAAAGTCGTAACATCTTGAGAATAAAGTTGTAAAATTATGAGAATAAAGTCGTAACATCTTGAGAATAAAGTCGTAAAATTACGAGAATAAAGTCACAACATTTTGAGAATAAAGTCGTAAAATTCCGAGAATAAAGTTGTAACAGTTTCAGAATAAAGTCATAAAATTACAAGAATGAAGTCGTAAAATTACGAGAACAAAGTCGTAACATTTTGAGAATAAAGTCGTAAAATTCCAAGAACAAAGTTGCAACATTTTGAGAATAAAGTCGTAAAATTCAGAAAATAAAGTTGTAACATTTTCAGAATAAAGTCATAAAATTACGAGAATAAAGTCGTAAAATTGCGAGAATAAAGTTGGAAAATTACAAGAATAAAGTCGTAACATTACAACAATAAAGTAGCAACGCGAGACTTTCTCATAATTCTCATAATTTTATTAAAGTATTCTCAAAATAAAAAATAAAAAAATTCTCTAGACTGGCCCTAATACTGATTTGTATTATTGGATTCCTATGACATTTTTTTTTATTTTTTATTTTTTTATTTTTTTTTTTACTATTTGGACCTGAATTCCTTTCCTTAAAGGAAATAAGGCATATGTTCGTGCTAACATGAGGATGTATCACGTTTTAGGCACAAAACTATAATTTGAATTTAGCAAATAATATGCCTTTACAGTGATAAACGATTAAATGGCTGACAGAAAGAAAAATGGACTAATGAATTTTGATACATTTATGTCGTGTCTCCATTTTTCTTTTTGTGGGGCTTTTACTTTGAAAAGCTGACAGTCGGAGTGGTGTGAGCTTCCGCTGTGTGTTTGACATTAGGTCCGGGTTTTACCTCAGCTTTCTTTATTCCTCCCGTTTCTTTCCCTCTTTAATGCGCCCCGCCAGCCGCATGTGTCTATTTATTTATTTATGCTTTCTGTCTGACAGTATTTAGTTGTTTTAAGTTTTAGTCGTTCCTCCAATGAGAAGGCGTAAAAGATGGAGCTTCACATTTTAGAGCACAGCTTGAAAGTGGCGAGTATAGAGAAGGAGGGGATCGAGGTTTGCACCCACGGATTAATTAAACTCGCCTTCCTGGCCTCCAAAACCAGGTAGGTATCTTCAGAGCCCAGTCCGGCTTTAAATCTGTTTTCTGTGTTTCTGCTGGTGCTGCTGTTGGCTAGCCGGCCGGCTGCTAGTTAACGGCTGTTTATTAAAGCTTACGGAGTTCAGAGCCTAACATGCCGGGTCTAGGGGCTGTTCTCCCGGGCAGCTCTCTGCCCACCGCTCCTCGGCCTGTCCGGCTGTTTGGAGGCTCAGCCTGGAGCTTTGTGGATCCACGCCGGTGCTGGTGTTTATGTTCCGGCTTCCTTTCTTTCTTCCAGGATCATTCTTGTCTAATCTGACAAAGTTCTCCAAGCAAATCGGAGGATTTTAAAGCAGGAAAGTTAGAATGAAAACAGCTGAGGTCGTCATGGCCGTGAATAGGAGAATGTGGGCCCCTGGGCTAGAGCCTGCTTTGCTTCCCTGCCCACACAAGCTGTTTTCAGGCATGCAAATAATGTTATGTCACCTTTCATGCATTCAAATAAAGCTCTGAGTTCCTTACATAAAATCCCCTTAGATCCTTTAAATAGAAAAATAAAGAATTATTACAATAATTTGTTAATTTCTAGCTGTTAGAAAGAATACAGCAGAGTATTAGGCTCAGGATAGAGATTTTTTTTATTTCCAGAATAAAGTCGTAATATTATAAGAATGAAGTCAAAATTATGAGAATAAATTCATAAAATTTAAGGACTTCATATGTCCTTATTTGTCAAACCGATGCAAAAGTATAGCTTTAAATGGCTTCTTTTAGGAGTTGTCATAAAATACAACTTTATTCTCATAATGTTACAACTTTATGCTTGTAATGTTACGACTTTATTTTGGTAATTTTATGACTTTATTCTCGTAATTTTATGGCTTTATTTTCTTAAATTTGCGACTTTATTCTCGTAATGTAACGACTTTATTTTCGTGAAGTTACGACTTTATTCTCGTAATGTTACAACTTTATTTTCTTAATTTTACGACTTTATTCTCATAATTTTACGACTTTATTCTCGCAATGTTACGACTTTATTCTCGCAATGTTACGACTTTATTCTCGCAATGTTACGACTAGGGCTGCAACTAACGATTATTTTGAAAATCGATGAATCGGACGATTATTTTTTCGATTAATCGATGAATCGGACACAAAATATTTTTTTTATATTAACCTCTTTATTCCAAAATAAACATTTTAGACAGAACAAACAAGCACACAAGTACAGGTTTCTCATTAACTGTACTGGTGCTATATGAAAAATAAATGTTTGTGTTAAAACTATGCAAACTTACATGAGAAATGTAGCTGTACATCCACAAAATATAGGGTACTTTGTTTCATAAAGCGCAAAAAAAGACATTTTTGTTTTTAAAAGCCCCTAAGGGGTTCAAACAATAGGCCCCCCCATTTCAACAAATGAGTTTTTTTTAGACTAGAAGAGTTCTGCCTTTTAAGACAGGAAAGTATAGCAGTTAAAGTTGCTACTTAAGAAAATACTTAACCATAGAGATAAAAATAGCCCTGTGATTCAAATTATAAATTGTATTTGGAATAAAAATGAGAACTAGGGGTGTTAAAAAAACACATCCTCCAAAGACAGATATTTACATGGGAATGTGGCAGATAATTAATTGACATATTACTGATCTTGCTGGATTTTATTCTGCTTTACTTCCATAAATTGCAGGATCTTCTTTACTTTCTTTGCCAGAAGATTTAAACTTTAAAAGCCTTGCCCTCATAATTTGCAAATTTATTTATTTATAAAGAAAATATAAACGCTGCTTAAGCTAATTCAAATGAAATTAAAAGTAAAATAAGAAGCCAACCTTATCACTGTCTGTAACCTACTAACAAGCTAAGGAAAGCATCAGATGAGCTACCTGAGAAACTAACTTACGTTTCCCCACTTTAAAATGAAAAAAACACGGTTACTCATCCTGCTGATCAGCTATCTTCACTGCCATTGAAGGCTCCAACGTGTTTTCTTTTCAGGTGCTGCGTCATAACAGTGGTGCTTCCGTGCCATGTTCATTTGTTTTTTACAAAAGTTGCATGTTACGACTTTTTTCACTTTACAAAGCGCAGGCTATTTTAATTATTGTGATCAATTTGCGCCGTCAATCCCGGGGCATGCGCGCTTCATTTGCAGTCTGGACGCTGAGGGTAAACTCCTCACTAAAATTCTGCGGCTCGGACTGCACGCTGAGAGGGATTCCTGTGGGAGAGGGAGAAAGGCGTTGGGATGGGGGAGGCGCCCCACGGCAGCAGCTGCCGCTGGAGGACAAGAGTAGGAACGATACATGCTTTCACGTAAGAGTCACCAAAAGCCGCCAGTGACACCGTAAAAAGTCGCCAGATTTGTCGCTAGTCGCTTTTTAAAAAAATAGTCGCTGGAGGGGTCTGAAAAGTCGCTGAGTTGGCAACACTGCAACTGCGGCGCTGACTCGCTCCGCCATATTTTTTTTTCTTCCCCGGGATGACGGCGGCGGCGGATGACGCATTAATCGCGCGACACAACTAATCGATGATTAAATTCGTTGCCAACGCTTTTAAACGTCGATTTTTATCGATTTTATCGATTCGTTGTTGCAGCCCTAGTTACGACTTTATTTTCGTAATGTTACGACTTTATTTTCGTGATGTTACGACTTTATTTTCGTGATGTTACGACTTTATTCTCGTAATTTTACGACTTTATTCTCGTAATTTTACGACTTTATTCTCGTAATTTTACAACTTTATTCTCGTAATTTTACAACTTTATTCTCGTAATTTTACGACTTTATTTTGTAATTTTACGACTTTATATTCGTAATTTTACTACGACTTTATTTTCATAATTTTACGACTTTATTTTGTTGATGTTACGACTTTATTCTCGTGTTGTTACGTTATTTTCGTAATGTTACGACTTTTTTTTCTTAATGTTACGACTTTATTCTCGCAATGTTACGACTTTATTTTGCAATGTTACGACTTTATTCTCGCAATGTTACGACTTCATTTTCGTAATGTTACGACTTTATTTTCGTGATGTTACGACTTTATTTTCGTGATGTTACGACTTTATTCTCGTAATTTTACGACTTTATTCTCGTAATTTTACAACTTTATTCTCGTAATTTTACAACTTTATTTTGTAATTTTACGACTTTATATTCGTAATTTTACTACGACTTTATTTTCATAATTTTACGACTTTATTTTGTTGATGTTACGACTTTATTCTCGTGCTGTTACGTTATTTTCGTAATGTTACGACTTTTTTTTCTTAATGTTACGACTTTATTCTCGTGATGTTACGACTTTTTTTTTCCGTAATCTTACGACTTTATTCTGGAAATTTAAAAAAAATCTTTAGCCCGGCCCGAATACGTTGTAATAGAGGACACAAAACATTAACAGTTCAGTTAGTTAAATGACAGTTAAGGACAAAAAAAGTTAATGATAGGGAAACCTATTTAAATTGGAATTTTAGTTTTATGAAATGGCAGAAACTTTTTTTAAGATATATATTTTTTTAAATTTATAAATAATTTTTATTATGGATAGATTTAAGTTTTTGCAGCTCAGAATTCAGAACATTAAGCGGTAAATGTCTGCAGCTGCCTTGTTGGTGTACTTCTATGAAAGGACAGACTGACACAAATATTAAATAAAATAATTTCAATGTTGCAGATATTGTTCAAAAGTCATTATAACAATTTAACATGACATGAATGTTTAAAAGAACTATTTTAAGTTAAATAAATAGTACTAGTTAACGGTATAGATCGCAGGTATTCGGGCTCTCCATGCTATTGAATGGATGTTCAGTGGAAGACTGTTTAGTTAAATATTTGTCTATTTATCGTAAAGTTATCAAAATTGCGGCCCAGAGGCTTTTGCAAGAATTAAAATATATTTTTTTACCCAATTCAAGAATGGTAAACATTTGAACACATTGGAAATTTTAGTTACAACACCAAGAATTTACCTTTTATTTTCCCTTTTTACACATAAAAGAGAGACAAGCTTTTAAATTGTTTTACTGAGAGGGCCTTTGATTTCTTTGCTGAATAACGAGAGAGCGAGCCATGGGTCCATTCCCGTTTTCTATTGCTTACAGCAGTTGTTGCAGCATGTGGAGCGATCAATTATAGCTTTCTGCTATTTTTGGTTCATCTAAGAAAATTGACCTCATGATAACGCAGGCTAACAAGTAATTGTGGTTTTGTAAAATGAGTAAAAAAAGCTAAAAACAAAAAACGGGGTGTGGTTCAGTTGTGGCTGTCTTCTTGTAATCAGCTCTCCCTCTGTCTGTCTGATGCCACCGATAGCGATAACAATGCTGCTCTGATTAATTGCTGATAAAACGCACATCCTTCAGGTTAATCTTTACCTCCACGGCATCCAAATCAACTCAAGTTGCTTTGAAGCTTCATGCTGTCTGTGTTTATTACAGACGGGGCCTCATAATCATATCGCTTTAATCTGAGCTGATCTAATCAGTCAGCGTCTCAAACTACTGATGTTGGCCAATTTTTCCAAAGAGGAGACGGTAAGATCAATTAGTTAATTAATCAATACAATCTATGCGACTTTATTGCTGCTTCTTGTTCATGTGGAAAGAATAGACTGAGCTTTTATAGAGATAAACTCAAGACACAAGAAAACCAAAAAGGATTCTTAATTAGGGCTGAAACAATTAATCAGATTAATCATGTTAAATCGATTATTTAAATAATCGTCAACTAATTTAGTCATCGATTAATCGTTAACTGAGTAAAGAGACTATAAAACATGCATTAAGCTGACATAACAACCCATTTAGAGCAGTAATTATACCAAGATTGTTATAAAAAATAAATAAATATGTAAAAATTTTGCATTTAAGATAAACTTTTCCATCTGTTAATGTGCTCTATTCAGAATTCCTCAAGCGGAAAAGTTTTAATTTCATAAAAAATCTTTAAGGAACCTTTGACTTTTCGATTATTAATGGAAAAAATAATCGACAGATTAATCAATTTG